ACCACACAGGACCACCCAAAATCCAAACTGTGTCTGAGAATGGTGTCCGAACACTTCCTGATCTCTGGTACTTGGGGCTGTGCCCACAGCCCAGGGCAGCCCGTTCAATGCCCACCTCCCTCTGGTGGCAGCACCCGTCCCTGACCCCCAGCTGCCCTCCCCTGACGCAGCTCCATGCCGTTCCTGTTGCTGTCACACAGAGCAGAGCTCAGCACTGCCCTTACGCTCCCTGTGAGGGGCTGCAGCTGCCATGAGGCCTCCCCTCAGCTCCTCTGCTCTGTTCTGAACCAACCAGGGGACTTCAGCTGCATCTCATACACCTTGCCTTCCAAACAAGGCCTTTCAGTTTACTTCAGTGAAGACATCTTACAAACACCAAGAACTTCTCACAGCTTTGAGAAAGATTCCTCCAGGTACAATAGTATACTTCCTGTGGACAAGGAAGGGAGAGAAAAGAGACTTACTTTGTTTGCATATGTTTTGATAAATACCATTAATAAGAAGAGTCAAGTACTTCAAAAACAGGGGGCTTATTGTTATTAACCAAATTCATGATCTGGTTTGATGACCACTTGGGGGTTCTATGTTGTTTCCTTTCCTTGATCAATATGTTACAGCATTTAACACAGCTCTTGCATCTTTGGGAGGTTTTCTGATAAGCTACTTCAGGCATGTTGTTAGACACAGTGCAGAGACTCTAGGAATGTTCTCCTTTTTAAGAGCAAACCTCTACAAACTGCACTAAGTTTATACAGATACCATTGCTAGAGAAAAATATAACAAAGGCTTCCATATAACAGAGGCTTCCAGAATGTTGGCCAAAGTGCTCTGGTACCGGGATAAGGAAGCAGCAGCTGAGGAGGAGGAAAGATGGAGTGTAAGCCATTGAGGAGTTCTGGTGCTGTGCTACTCCTGTAGCGCGTGTGGGAGCAAAACTGGTGGCTATGTTTGCACTCAAGTCAGCAGGTGTGAGTGAGAATGTGCTGTCATTATCAGAATAAAACTATGTTTAGTTTCTGTGAAAAATAACGTAGGGTTCTGCAGCAAAATTGTGTTGTTGCTAGCCCTAGGCAATGGGATGTGCCTTTGCTGCAGGGAGAAGTGGCTGTTCCTTCTGGCAGGCCATACTTTTGCTATGCAAGTTTTAATAAATGAGTGTGAATTAATGTTATATGCTCTGGAGCTGAACAAAGCATGTATATTTCCTTACCCAGCTATCTTTTCTTGCTCTTCTGTTCTATGTGGATAATATGCTGCTAAAACCATGCCAGTGTAGGATTCCGTACAAGTGACTTTCCTATCAAATTCTATCGTTTGTGGGTTGATATTCCCCCTGGAACAGCAGATGAAGGCAGACAGCAGGCTAATTGATTCAGCGCTCCCCCATTGCTTCTCAGCACAAGCACTTAGATGTAATAATTGTGAAAGAGAAGAACTGACGCTGAGCTGTAAACTGGTGACACGGAACTCAGTAAATGGTGTGTACTCCACAAACTGCCAGCTAGTCAGAGTATTGACATATATTTTCACTCTTTCAATGCATTTTTCCAACTAATACCTGTAACTAATGTAGTTTCCCATGTTTCAGTGGCATAATGTTCACAGTGGATAACTATGGAGTGGGAGAAGGGGTTTGTTTCGTTTTTCCCCTTAATAAAATCATACCCTCAAGCTTCTACAGAACAGTGGTATTTCAGTGCACTCCGGAATTGTGGCTTAATATGCATAAATATTCCTTTTCCCCATTTAGAAACAGTAAGACCATATACTAAAAGCTCTTTCCATTAGTATAATTCCACCCAATGCAAAAATGCTGTATATTTTCATGCTAAACAACAGAATAGTTATACGGACCTTGTCTCTGCATGATGTCTGCTGACAGAATTGTATTTCTCAAGAAAACTCATCAGCTAAAGTAATGTTCTAGTATCTTGAAAGTGTCCAGTATGTTGCTTTAAAGGGATTTTATTTTTAATTAAGCATCAGCATTTCTATATCTATATGCCTATATCTATAGCTATTCCTATATTCCCATAAATGGCATATACCTCTAAAAAATGAATATTACTTTTGCCATTTGTGTAAAGCATCAGGATGCAGCACATTCTTAATTTCTTAATTCTTAATTCATTCTTAATTTTTTGTTCAGCTAAACACAGTCCCAATTTAGAAAAAGAGGAAATACTATGATCTCATTGCCCAGTAAAATTTCCATATTCAGATACAAGGAAAAGCATTTCTTTTCATTGTTTTCCACGCAGAAATTATGCATTTCTACAGAGCTGATGTTTTCTGCTAATGTCATATTCTTCCTCCGTTGTACTGGCAGAGAGCTTTCTCCCTTTCTGTCTTGAACACAATTCTTAGTTGCAGTCTTTCTTTTCAAAGTTTTCTAATTGTTTATGCAAAGAAATAAAAAATTGAGAAGTACTTCTATTTATCTATGCCCAAAGCTCTTACCAGGGTGCTGTCTTTCTGATGGTGATTGATGGGAGCTATGAAAATTAACTTTCTTTTCTGGTTACCCACAACAATAAGCAAGTTCCAGATCTATAGTCATGTAATAGTCTCAAACCCTTATCACATTGTGAGGGTGACATTACCAAACTAAGTATTGGTTCTTGTACCAACCACACAATGTATGTTCATTCTGGGACAAATGCTGTGTTTTGGTTTAGGATCATGCATGCTTTAGTATGAACCAACTTTCAATATGTCCTTTGGATTTTTATGTTGCAGGATACTGGTAATGGCTGATTGTTATCAACCTGATCCTTTTCAGAACATATTTGTCAACCTCTGGAAGCAGCAGGGTCTTGTTCTTGTAAATATATGTTCTGCTTAATAGGAGACATTTTTGAGTTGACAGCAAAGTATTTGTCTGGGATCCAGTTATCTAAAATGCCACTGAATGCTTCCTGTAAGGAAGGTATGCTTTGCCTCTTGCTGTCGCTTGCAAAGAGTGCAGAACTGTAGGTCTTGTAATCTCTACCACTCAAACATGACTGTCTGAGATTTTCTGCAACATTTCAAATTACATAAAACATCTTTGCTTAAGTAACTGAGCTTTTTAGTAAGTGAAAAAAGCGCATTATTTGTACATATTCCTTTAATTATTTGACAGTTGAATACCTCAGCAATTTTAGCCCTCCTGCTCTTAGTATTCACAGATTTTGCTTGCTCCTTATTTCCAAACATGCACAGTAAATGAAATACACTCATTTTTGTCTTTGATAATTTCTATAACAAAGTAACTTACAGCAACACTGAAAGGAAACTGGAATTATTTGCTGTGTAGCTCAACTTAAATGAAGAAAAATGTCAGTGGTGAACCTCAACATGTATGCCTTTTCTGAAGGTCTATATATATAACACATGATCCACCGTGAGGGTATGGTTGGTATAATCCATGTTTCAAAAAAAAGGAGCAAAGTTTTATTTGGGAAGTCTTCATATGTTCATTTAGCTATGATGTTTATATGTGAGATTATGGAACAATTTTTGATTTTTAAATTGAATTTCTGTGCACAGCATTCTGGACTCTATACGTGATTACTTCTGAAAACATTTTAAAATTAAAGCCATGGAGTTTGGAAACACTTTGACAAGACTGCCAAATTTAGGATTTTCTGAGATAGCCTGAGGGAATGCTTTTGTTACATATCTTTGCCCATCAGATATGAAAATGCTGTGCTCGGAACTCTTAATTAAAGGATTATTTTTATTTCTCAAGACTATGGTAGGTCTAACAAATTTAAATGGCAAGTGCAAAATGCATTGAGAAGAAACAATAGATCTCTTGCTAGAAAGTAAAAAATCAAAGCTCACTTAGACTTGAAGCTCAGAAAATGCATATATACATCTTAAACCTAAATAATCCTCACTTGTATTTATATTAGTTCAAAAAGCAAACACAAACCCATAGTTGCATGAATTTTCAGAGGGATGTTTTTTCTTTCTACAGAATCAGCTGTGAAATACCAATAAGGTGATGAAAACAAACTTATCATTGCCTACATTATTGAATGGATGCTTGCTTGATGTACTTGCAAAAACAAACAAATTATTCTGATTGTCAGCTTAAATTTATTGCAAGTTTGGAGAATCTTGACTCTATTTTTATGCAAGATGCAGAGCTCTCCTTTCAGATACAGCTTCAATGCTGGCACTCAGTGTGCACTAACATGAGCCAGCTGTAACGGTGTCTCTCAATCTCTGTGCCTATGCTGAAAGCTGAAAAAGTGGATCGAATGATAGAGCTCTTATTTATCAGTGCTATTTTAGATATATCACAAGTATTTAATTTAAAATGGATGGATGAGATAATCTGAGATGAATCTGTGCATTTAGGCAGTGAAAACATGGACTCTTTTGATTGGAAGAGTGAAACATGCAAAGCTTCTGATGGTAGCAAAGTGGAAAGAGCCTATGTCTATACTCCTGACTTTTGCTGGCATCCCTGTATTGACAGGTGTTTGGAGATCTGATAGAAGCTCTGGCTTATCTGTGTTAGCTGTCCTACCACTAAATCTGGTTCCCCGACTGCCCTGGCCTGGCACGAGTGCTTTCAAGTGGCTTATCTTGGAAGTACTGACATAAAACTCAGCTCTACTGGTACAGCTTCACCTCTACTAGTCTCTTTTTGATTTGCATAAGAAACTGTAAACTGCCTTTACCATTTGGAATGCATTATGAATATCTAAGAGGTGTATTTTTCCTTTAAAACCTCATTTTTTTTCCATTCCTCCTAGAAATGCTGGGATTCTTCATTTGCAAAGTATGCAGAAAACAACTTCCTTCTGGTTGCAGCTGTATATTGTATGGCTTGGATAAAAAGCAATCAAAAACATTTAACTGTATTTTGTAAGATCTGTTCCAGTGAAACCACTGTTAATTTTGCAGAGTTGTTTTTTCGGGTTTTTTTTCCTTAAACAGACAGCTTCTTTTGTCAGCCAAAGAACAAGTCATTTGATTAATGATCATTTTTATCTCTTTGAAAGGATCCTTTCCGACCATTGGGGTGAAGTCTCTTTCGAGATTCCTGAGGGCGGGATTTTTAAATAGCATCCTGACCTCACATCCAGTCTCAGGGGGTGGATCTTTACCCCCCAGCATTTCCTCTGGTAGGTATTCCAGCCTTTTTCCCCACATTGATTTTTCTCTTCACCCTCTGAACCATCTCTCCACAGCTCTCATTTGATACTGTTTACACGAGGAGATCAGATGTCCCTTCCGATTAAAAAGTCAAACTGGAAAGAAATGGAAAAGAGAAGTTACTCTTCAAGGACTAGCTATTTTCCTTGAATCACTGTAGAGGGGAAAGTATGAGGGAAAGCAGTTAACCTAAATACTTCAAGAGAAAGCTTGGTGTCCTTAAATCAAGTGTTTCATGGAGCACACCTGTGTGCACCAGGGAAACAACACTTTAAAAATGCCTTTGTAAAATCCCACTTTTGTGACTCTATGACTCTTCTCTAAAAATTTGCATTTCCTTGCTAAAACATGGACGTAAAACAAAAATTTGAAGGGAAAAATTTAATTAAGTAATGGAGTTTGAGTCTTTTTTATGCTTCCATAGTTGTGACTTCTATCTCATGAAAACAGCCTTAATTCTTAAAAATAACTTTTTAGAATAATTTGAACTACTTTAATTCTCCTTTACAGTAAATGAGAAAATTCCATGGTTTCTGTTGTCAGCACAGCACATTGCACCATTTCTTGCTAGGTCTCCAGCAGTGCTATGAGTCTGTGGTGGCACAGAGGACTTAGAGGGTTGGCTTGTGGTTGAATGTAGACTAAGAATAAGAACACAGTGCCAGGTAAATAGGCTGCTCTCCGGTACAGGGCTGAAGCAGGAAATACAGATAGGCTAGAAGAATTCCCAGGAAGATTTTTTGTGTTCTCTATTCCCTGGAGCCATTAAAAATCATCTGTCACCAAAGCTAATAAACAAAGAGGAAATAACGGTATCTTAATTATGGTTAAAATTGAATTAAAGTTCAGTTCTGTTTCTCTCCAAACTACATATGTATATGCAGAATTAATCCATATATGGGTTAATGTCGTATCTGTGTCCTTTCAGGACCTCTTACCAGTAATGTTACTTACAGTTTTTGGCTAAAGAGAAAAAATTGTCTTCTGGTACAGTTAGGAGGCAATCTGAAGGATGGCGTACGTGGTATTGATTTGCTATACAAAAGAAAATGCTCTACCTCTTTGTGCCTTGTTTTATCCATTGTGAAAATTACAAGCCTCATCAATACATGTTGCTCAATATGGGATTTACTTATTTATTTATTTATTTATTTATTTAAGTGCTATTATTTCTTTGTTTGCTTTCTTTCTTTGAATAGAAGCTTCTGAGCAACTTTAATGTCTTCTCATTGACTCTTCAGGTGTCTTTTGTCAACAGTCTGTAAAATGCTTTTCATTTATTTTCTCTGAAGGATGTTTCATTATTCAATAGTCATTAGGCAATTTTGGCAGTCAGCATCACAATGAGAATGGTATCTGTCACAAAACAGCTCTATGGAAGAAGAAATACTCCCAGCACCCTCCCTCCCCTGAATTCTCTGTTTTGAATATTGTGATATGTGTAGCATATCACTGATTCTATTAGTTTAAATATGCCTTAACTGCATTAATAAATTGGCTTTTCACCTAGCTGCTTACAAGTTTTTCTTGTCCATTTGTAAGATCCCCAGGACTGCTGTTTTTCTGAGTGTTTGTAAAGCATCACATTTTGGACTTAAGTCATAACTTTTAGTGTGATTACTAGTAAGAGTGTTTCATAATCTCTTGCTATTAAGTGTCTTTTACTAAGAATTCGATCTGATGAAATATTCAAAACAGGGAAAAAATAGAAATGCTGTTTGGTCACATCAATAACATAAAAGAGCCCAGAACCAACCCCATAGAGAGAGATAAATGCTGCCCATCTTTTGCAAAACGAAGAATATCGGGTAGTTGAAAGCCACTAAGGAGATGTGACAAATCCAATGGAAGCTTTGTGTTTCTTTGAGAAAAACTGTTGGTGTAGGAGTGGGCAGGTGGCAAGAAACTCCACATTAAAAGTCAGAAACTGCTATTAAGATATGTATCCTAACAACCTTATCCATAGTACTTCTCTTTAAGTGAACAGTTCCTCTCCTGTGAACAGTTAAGCACAATCTTAACTCTGTATTGCCTCCTGTCAGTGATGTCCAGAGGATGCCACTTTCAATGCACACTGACTTTCTAAATTACTAAAATCAACTTTGCTATATGTGTGAACCAAAACCCAATACACTCGCTGTATTTTTTTGAAGGAAAAAAAATCTCCTGTTGAAGGGAGTACTGATCTGAAATGAGAGAGAGTCAGAACTGTATCTCTTACTCTTTATGATGCAGTAAAAAAGTTCATCCTTAGTAGTAGTCACTTGAGCACAAAGAGAAGGAAGGCATCCTTTGTCCCTTCCTGTTGAAAAACATTGCACTCAGTACCTGACCTTTTTTCTGAATACTGCTTTACCAACAAACAGATATCTAGGCCCACAGCAAGGGGGTTGGAACCGAATAATCTTCATGGTTCTATCCAACCCAACCCAAACTATTCTGATTCTATGAACTCCATCCATAAGGTTTTCAAGGACTAATACCCATGCTATCGTGGCAGTCTCTGGCTCTTTAACAGTAATGTGTGGGCAAAATCATCTGTCCACTGGACTCTTGTTGCTTCCCCTGTCCCCAGCCTTTTCCCTCTCTTACTAAAAGTGAGAGAATTGCTGGTTTTGTGTTTGTACTAGAGGAAGAATGTTTGACTGCTGCCTCTGGTGGCGCTGTGACCTCACCTCCATTATCTGAGATTGTTGAGCTCATACTGAACAGTACCTGTCATAAGCCTAACAAAAATAGTTACCATTTAATAACTTTGCTGAATTATGCACTAATTCATGTATAGCTTCTGTGTAAGATTTAGGTGAATTAAACTACGTGGAAAGCTTAAAATGCCTGCATTATTCTTCTATAAGGGTCACAAGGAACAAAGTGAGATGGTTTTATTTACTAAAGCATTTAACTCAAACTACGTGCTAGATTTACTCCAAAATAGTCCAAATAGGAAAAATAAAAAAAAAATCCTATTAAAGAAAAAAAAAAGAAGAAGAAAGAAGCATTTAAAGTAATTTTTTTTTACAGAATTCCCCAGATATGTTGTTGAAGTTAAATACTAAGAACTAAACTGGGAAGACTCCCACAGAAGTACCTGGAAAACTTCTTGGCAGAGCAGAGTAGCGCTTGTTTTCCTTTTAAGTTTTCCACTTCAGGCAAGGGGAGGAGGCAGTGCGTTTATTTATACTGTTGCATTGACAGCCAGTGTTGAGTTGCGTGTAATCTGGTGTTGGGTTTTACATTGCACAGAGGTTCATGTATGTGGAAGGTTCACATACATTCACATAGCCAACCTAAGGCTAAAGATGAATTTGTGTTGCAGGCATGGGACTTGACATCTTTCTTCACAAAAGGATTGCCGCAAATGTAGATTTATTTTTTTTTTAAACCTAGTCATAGCTATACTAATGCAATAGCATTTATATTTGATAGTTCATCAGAAGTCTGCCACTTCCATACAACGTTTCATTAGAAGTAAGGCCTTCAGGAGGCCTGCAAAGATCTGTCCTATGTTTTTGGAGAAAGAAAAAAAAAATATATCCCTTTAAAGAGAAATGCTTCCTTTTCATTTAGCTGTTATTTTTGTCACAGTTTTTTTAGTCTCTCATTATGCCACCTGTTAGCAGTGCAGATTCACATGACTTAGTTGATGCAAATCTATATTGTAATGGTTCATCACCAATGGATTCACAAAAGCAAAGTATACCTTTTCTCAAATCCTTGCAAAAATTGAATAGAAATTCTAAAGTGTCCAATAGTCTACATCCTCATCATACATATGTTGGCATGAACAAAGAAGCTTAGCCATTTCTTCATATCTACAGGGGCACACATACACGTGTGCATGTTGAAAATAAATAGCTAAGTTGCAGTGCTGCTTCTATTTTTTTCAAGTTCTTACTTGCCCAAACTAGTAGTGTTTGCTCCATTTTGGAAGATCTCTTAGTTCCTTTTTCCAGCTGTGTATTTGCATCTCTTGATTTCAGTCACACATAAAGTGAATGTAAACTCATATTACCTGGCAGAAATTAGATGTAGAAAATAGTATGGTTTGCTGCTGTTGTTGGAGGGTGTTGGACAGATTATAAACCTGATGGATCAGAAAGGAGGGGAGGGAAACAAAATACCTTTACTGTTGTTTCTTTCAAGTTCTGATTTTTTTTTTGTCAACAAGAACAAGTAGAAATGAGTGTCAAGCTATGAGTAACTATGGAAAAGTCCCTGTTAAGCAAATCTCCCCACCTCTCTCCATAATGTTCAGTATTCAGACTATATCAACAAACCACATATGTGGTAATATTCACATTTTTTATATGGAGCTTCTCAAAAACCTCAGACAATTGTAGAATACTAAAGCAAGTGATTATCAGTTTTCTTTCCCCTAAAATTAATATTTTCCTACAATTTCAAAGTGCACCTGAGTGAGCCCATTATTCTTGATATTATAGAAGGTGACAATTGAAAGCAAATTGTATTGACAGACCGTTATTGAACAAAATTGCTCAACAAGAACCATCAAGGAGCAATTATGCATATTGAAGCTCAACTATAATTTTATGGCACTCAGATAATGAGAAAAGTAACCATTAATAATTTTTTTTTCAGTTCATGTGTTTTTCCCTACTCTGGATTCCAGTACCTAAAAGTGGCTGTGTTTTTTTTGTTGAACGAAAATTGCTAAACCTTTCTTGCTGACTAACAAACTGATTCTTTTATTGCATTCTCTAAAATATCTGAGCCAAATAGCTCTTCTAGTTTATCCTTTCCAGCATCAGTGCTGTTTCACTGGCATGTCTAGCCTATAAACCCTATACATAATGGCATGCATTTTCTGAGTACAGATGCTCAAGCTGAGGATGTATGTGGACTTTACCATTAGGCAGGCAAAGAGTACTTCACAGCCAAAATATGAATGATCAGTGAGTAACATAATTAGTGAGATAATGTTCTGGTTTATTAACGTCTAACTTGAAAT